GGGCTGTGAGATGAACTCACAGAGGCCTGAGCCTTCACTGCCAAGGAGCCCTCCCAGAGAGTTCTGAAAAATATGGTTTCCAAACAATCCTACTTGTAAGGCTCTCCCTCTCCCTCCCCTTTAGCACCGAATAGTAGGGTACTGGCATAAAAGCAAAACCCTAGTTTAAGAGTTCATCTCCACCTTAAAAAAAAAAAAAATCAACTGTTTGTGACATAAGAATTAACTGCAACCTTGGAACACTGAAGGGAGACAAAAAATACAGGATGGATTAGAGGCAAAAATGGTTTCCAGGAATTATTTATGAAGTGTCAGTCATTCTTTAGTTTTCCAACAGTAACTAGTTTTCATGATACGTATTTAGGGGGACTAAGCACTAACTGCTAAGTAAACCCATAAACCTGAGGAAATTCAATCAAAATACAGTTTTTCCTGGGAGGAGATAGTAGAACAAGAAGGGGATAAAAACAGATGCTACTAATCTTTGCATTCAGGGGCAGGCCCACTCCACTCTCCGTTGACATGATCTTTCGTTGTACAATGAATGGAGGCCTCTCCAATAAGAGAGAAGCCCTGGTCACATTTGTAAGTTACCGCTGAGCCAAAGGAAAACTCTTGTTCACTCTGACCAGTATAGGATCCATGGGGGATATCAGGAGGTGGAAGACAAGGTATTCCTGAAGCAAAGAAGGTCAGCATGAAAATTAAAGTTTACATTGAAGATGAACTGAAGAGAGCTTCACTAAGTAAGTTGTCTCAGATCCCCCCAGAAAGCTATTTAGCCATTTGGAAGGGGACTTAACATTGCATTTTAACATTTGAAGCAAGACCCCTTTCAGATTCTGAAGGTTTTTCTGCTTTTAAGCTTGACCCAACCCAGTACGTCCATTGCTCAAGGGGGATGCTCCATAAAACACCAGCTCTGGAAGATGACCTTAACAGAACGTGCCCCATCCCAACATTAGCCTCAGGGAGCCAGAACCTCTTGCCCAGCATCTCTAGAGGTAGTGTTGTTCCACCACCAGAAAACTAAGCTAGGACATTTCTTGTAGCAGCAGCTGATTCTAGCCTGGACATCAGCAGCATGATTGACAGACCAAGCCCTGAAAGCACCCAAGAGATCAAATTATGTTGGAGGCAAATTAATTGTTATTCACTCCAAAAGAGCCTCAGATTTTAAGTGGATAGTCAGGTTTGGGAAGGGTCAAAACATCTTGAAGTCATTATCATGCCTTTTACTTAGTGGACAGCAGGATTACACAGATACAATAGAGAAGAGGAGCCATGAGGACTGTTGGATTGTGCATATTAATCTGTGCCAGGTGAACAAACTAAAAGGTACTTTAAAAAAAAATTGATTCTATAGGAGTCATCCAAACACCATGGAGAACCAGAGTACGATTTCATTCCTCCCCCCAACTCAACTGTCATTTGGATTAAACGCCAAAGTAAGAACAGAGACTCCTCTGAAGCACCAGCTATGCTGCATCATCTCCAGACGTGAACCGTTCTTAAAACCATTAGATTAATTTACCTTCGCAAAGTGGAACCTTCTTATCCCAATCAACTCCATTTCCCACAACCACACATTGGGCAGAAGTCGCTCCAATTAATCTGTACCTAAAGAAAGAAAAATGGTTCAAGTTTGTTACTCATGTAAGCAAAGATCTAGTTTACCGTCCAAAAGGATGGAACGTGGTTTCTTTCTGCCAGTAGGTGGAGACAAATCATTGAAAGAGGGACACATCTAACACCATAGGACCAAGGAACACTGAGGCCAGGTCTAAACTACTCAGCTATATTGGTTAAACTATGTTGCTCGGGGTGTGAAAAATCCATATCCGAGTGACAGTTACACTGGCCTAACCCCGCCACGTAGACACCGCTTTGTCGAGAGGAGAACTCCCGCCAACATAGCTACTGAGTCTTGGAGAGATGGATTAACTATGCTGACAGGAGAGGCTCTCCCATCAGTATAGGAGCATCTTTATATACAACAGTACAGCTGTGCCGCTGTACGTGAAGACCGAGCCCTGTGTAGTTAAAGGCAATTAAGAGCTACAAACCAGAAGATAGAGCTCCCAAAAGCATTAGCAGGAGAGAGTCCTCGCTTCTGGGCTATGCTTATCAGATGTTTGGGAATACTAGTTAATCCTCGGCAAAGGGGAACAAATTACCCCTCTTCTAAATTAGAGATTTTTGCACTCCTATCTCCAGTAGGTGACAGGAGGCCCTACCACCTCTGCTACAGAACTCTTCAAATACCCAGAAAACTAGTTAATTTACAGATCACATGACCCAACCCCTACTGGATGATCTCCTGAGGCCTCTAGGCTGGGATCTTCAAAAGCACCTGAGTGAGTTAGGTGCTCATCTCCCACTGAAAGCCACCCAGCTACGGTTGTCAATCTTCCTTCAACTCCTTTGAAAAAATCGCAGGCGTAATTCTTAACAAGGGCCCAGCCCATGGCTATAGATTTATAGCACACCACTCACTTCTGTTCTTGAAGTTACGCAGGCTTTCTAGTCTCATTTTGCCAGACTTCACCAGCACTTTTACACCAGTCTAGGTTCTGTTAATTAGTCAAAAGAAGCAACTTGCCACTCACCCTTCATTACAGGAGAAGTTTGCTGTTGCACCAAACCGGAGATCCGTGAAATGAACCCTGCCATTTTCTAGTTCTAATGGTTTACATTCCATTTCTAGAAGAGAACGAAGCTAATATTACCGTTACCTCATATTACCTTAACGGGAGAAAGGGGATATGTTAACTTGCACCCCCTAACATAGCAAATACCATGGCAGATCAAAGCCAATGACCTTGGAGTCCAGTATCTGTCCTGTACAACAGCGGTCAGCACCAACGGCTACAGAGGAAATCTTACAACCCGCATTATGGATAATTTTGTAACATGCCCAGGGGAAGTGGGGAGACGTGGAAATGGGGTGATGCTTCCTAATCTCACACAGACAGTGGTTGCCTTATATCCTGAATCAAGAGATTTAAGTTCCCCTTGCAGATTTAGTATAAGTGCAAATATTCCTATTGTACATGTTAAGGCCCAGATCCTGAAAATTCATATACATAAACATATTCGTGTGGGTAGATCTATTGACCGCAACTGGCAGCAATTGCAAATAAAAAGCAACATAATATATGGGAAAAAGGATAGATGGCATAAATTATGAAAGGTAAAAATCGATATGGGGAGCTAAAGACATCAGTGAAAGAGTCAC